GGGCCAGTTGCTGCTACATCTTCAGTGTTCCGAGAGAATCTTGTTCCAGCGGTGGTTGTGTCCGAGGCAAAAGTAAACCAACGAGGATGAGGTGGACTTGCATCGTGGAGCTGAATTTTCTACGCTCGTGTGACTCCCTCTACGACCCGTCGAATTGCGTGCCGTGTTTTTAATTTGATCCATCGAACGACGATAACGACCACTACGACCATAACGAACGAGCAGAAATTTCAAGACGCAAACGAATCTAGGAGAAGCAAACGAATTATCGAAAGAAAGAAAATAGCAAGAAGGGGAGGAAGAAGGAGGAAAAGAAGAAGAAGAAGAAGAAGAAGAAGAAAAAGAAGAGAGGCGAGAGAGAAGAAGGAAAAGAGAAGAAAAAAAGGAAAGGAAAGTGAAAGAGATATTAAGATAAAAGCGTGAAGAAAGTGGCGTGTAGATAAGAAGGAGGGCTCGGAAAGGAGTGTGGATGAGACCGTCATGCCCGCTGAGATCGACACGGGCGGGCCAAGGGTGCTGCACTGTGATTACCGTGCCGACTGCCCGATACCAATCGTAGCGTCAGTTTCCACCGAGTCTTCCTTGTGCGGCGAGAATAGAGTTGTCGGAACGTTGACGATCGTACGCCGACTTCCGCGGATCGACGAAAACCAATCGCTCGATAGCAAAGCCCTCGAGTCTCGTCGTTGCTTTGGTTTCTCCTTTCGTCGAACCGGCGACGCGTCGTCGTCCAACCGTTCCGGATTCCGAGGTTTTCGACGAGCGGAGCCGCGTGATATCGCGTTCCACGATGTTTCCGATCGTCATCGGCAGCCGTCGAACGACGCGCTGTCGTGTACGATTCGACGCGAGAACGTGCATTATCGTGAAAATAGTTTCTATCCGGTGCAACCGGAATCGCGACTCGGCGATGCGATCGTCGTGGACCGGTCGCCGATCGACCAAGAGGCGATAACGGAGACACGATCGGGACAACACGAGTATTCGGTAGAACGCGAAACGAACCGGAGACTCGATTCGACGAGGCTTCCGGTGCCTTCGAGCAAACGCGAAAACGATACGGGCCATAATCGACATCGGCATCGGCACCGAAGTCGCGAACGAGAAGGCGAAGAAGAAGCCAGCCGCTGCTCGAAACGTTGCGGCCTGTCAACCGCGACTCGCAATTGGCCGCGGTATCGCCTCGCGAGCCATGTCCCAATAGGGAAGTCAGCAGCGCGGTTCTCTAGTCAGTCGAACGACCCTTCGAGATCGGGCGATCGCACGAGATACGAGAAGTTCGTATCGGTGCCGAGCGCGCTCCCGTCCGTGGCCGATGAAACGTGGAAGGAAGTGGTGGACGACGCGACGAATTCCTGGAGTAGCGAGTCGCGCGTCACCAAGGTCGTGGCGAGTACCGATGGCCAGTGCCGGCAGACCGACTTTCCTTCGTTCGATCCCCAGGAGTCCTTGACGAGAAGTGACCGTGGAACGAGGAAGAAGAAACGCGTGTGCTCTAACAACCGTTCGACGTACATTCAGTTAGCGTTACTGTTGTTCCTCGTCGCGTTCGGACAGTGCGGACTTCGTAAATCAAGTGTGGTTAACTACAGTGCGAAACCGAGTACAACCGGGTTGAGTGTGTTGACGATTGGTACAGTTATCAGTGCAGTGAGTGCCGCCCCGGTTGATTTAATGGGTGACGCCGGCGTGAGGGCAGAACGATCGGCCAATTTGTCGCACATCACTGGCGCTTCCAGGAAAATCCAGATGTACATCAAGAATCGGCATTTGCAGATCCTGCCAGATGGCACGGTAAACGGTTCCAACGACGATACTTCGGATTACAGTGAGTACTCTGTCTACCAGTGAATCGCATTTTTTTCTCTGTCCTTCTCTCTTTCTTCTCATCTTTCTTTCTTTCTTTCTCTCTCTCTCTCTCTCTCTCTCTTTCTTCCTTTCTTAATATACAATCGTAAATCATCCATCGATACCGCACGCGCAGCATGCAAACTGGAAACTGGAAACGTTCAATGATCGCGCGTAGTTTTGTTGTATCATTTTATATCGTGCATCCGCATACCGCGGCTGATGCTTCGTCCAACATCGACGTTGCTCCTTTCTTGTTGGCTTTTCCTCCTTTTATCCGTTTCCTCGGCGAAGGAAAACGGTTTTCTGAAATTGATACCGCGTTCTGGGCAGAGGCTTCATCGTAAACGCCAGTTGGTACGGTTCCAATCGTTCGTTGATTGTATCGCGAACGTTGACTTCGCCGAGGCTTCCACTCCAAGCACAAGTTGCTTCGTTATAACTTATAACACGCGGTTTTAGAATTTCTTGGCATACGACGATTACGTAGTCGAAGCTTTCTTATTAACGAAATCAAACTTCTACCATGTACCTACGTACGCGGTTCTTGCTATGTACATACTTTTGAAACTGATCGAACGAGCATCGACGAACAAACGCGGCCAATACGTCGATGTTTGTTTCGCGTTAGACGCGCGCCAGTTATATCCGTCGTCCGAATATTTATATTTGAAGCAACAGATAAGTGTCGGATAATCGAATCACGTGCAGGTAATACACGATCGGAGTACACTTTGATAATTCGTCTTGTTTCCAAAGCGTACAACTTTCTATTAATATTACGCGGTCTATTGAAATTAGCGTAAAGCGCAAACGTAATGCGAAAAAGAAAAAGAAAAAGAAAAACGCAAAGAAACGGGAAAGCAATCGCGTAGCTGAGAAAGTGTTCGCCTTGCGATCCGACTCGAATCGGCGAAATTAACGAGAGAATGCGATCAGGTCTGCGACTGGGTCGAGAAGCTGATCCAAGAATATGCGCTGCCTAGTACATGTACCTCTTCTTAAGTAGTCCACATTAACCTTTGAAACTTTGATAGTCTATCGTTGGTGACTCTAAATTCACGCTGTCCGATCGTAGTTTCTTTTTTCAAACGAGGATAAGCGCTCAACTACGTTTGAACTTCTTTCTACATCATTTAACCTTAATCTTCGTAAAACGAACAAAGTTCTTCCGTTAGACGGCCCCTCGCACTTAGCTGTTAACAATAAGGTCAATTCGACGAACGTCGAATCTGAATTTAAACATTCACTTTCCAGTTTAACGTCGCAACGTTCCGTTGCAGTGTGATATTTTTATAATTCGACCGCGAATATTTGTCAAATAAATTTATACAAATTCGTGTCTTCGTTATCGCGCGGCCGAATAAATGGAATTTAATTTCTTAGCATCGGAAGCATTTCCTTTCTTTCGCATCTTTTACGCCGTTTCATTTTTACGCTTTCGACGTGTATAAAAATGAATTCTACCATTAGCATAAGCGTATAAAAATTCATAGTCTGTTTATGATATGGGGAAATCGAATTAGAATTTAAGCGTGAAAGTTTCTTTCGAGAGAAATTACGTATGAAAATGAAGAGTTACGTTTGTAAGGTTTAAGTAGAAAATTGTTCAACTAACGTAGAGCTCTACTCTCTGGTAGGTATGGGAACAGAGATGTTATGGCTACGGAAAGGAAGAAACATTCTCCGTTTCTATAATATAATTCCTGGCCTTATTTCCGATAATTGTAGCGGTACTCTTTAACCAAACGCTTGCTTAACTTCCCTAACGACGCGACGCGACACGACGACACGAAAGCTGTGTACTTCTATATCCTCTCTTACGTAGTAAGAACGCGAGAATAACGGATTTCGTGTGACGTTCGAAAATCTTTCACGCTACAATATTTTTAATGCGTTTACTCGAATACGTTAGATACAAACTCGCACGAGTAAGTATTTACCATTCGAATCGTGCAAAGCAAATATATCATATACCCGTACCATGTATAATGTATAACGGTATGTATAATGATTTACGTATCTGATTGCCGAGAGTTATAATTACTCGAGTTACGCTTGAAGATGAATTTCCAGTGGATTAGAATTCGTAGTTTTTTTCTTTGTAGTTTAGTGGAGTAACATTGGGCCTGAATGATTTAATTGCGATTTGTATATATCTTGCCAAAATACTTCTGGCTTGCCAATAGACACTGCACGCCGCTCGACCATCAGTGACTAACTATTCTATTTTCGACTCTCTTCCGGTGTTGTTTTTAACCCTTTTATATTTTGATTTACTTGTGCGTGTAACCGTTCTGTCGCACCACGGGGAGTGAAACAATGTTTAAAGAACAGTGATTTAGATTTTTCGGACGAATAAGTTATACGTACTATCTCCGATATAACACACGCAAATACGTATTTGCCACGTTTCCCCGGCTTAAATGTTTCTAGATCGCGATAGACACGGAATTTGTTAAATTTATTAAACCGAACGTAAATTGCCACTAACGCGGTACACGACTGGATAATTTAATTCGTAACCGATAAGACGCGATCTATCGGACTCTGGTAATTTTTACTTTTGATCAATTTTGCTTTTAGGTAATTTGGAACCTGTTGTACGTACCTGTCGATACTCGTTAATTGCGATAATACAATTTTCAAACGAAGGAATAAGTAGATTGCGAATTTGTATGTATTCGTGGGAAGTTTAAACGTGCAAAAGTAGACAAAGTGCGTGTAATGCGCAAAAATATATGGAAGACGGTCGAAGTAAGCTTTGCGTGATAATGTTTGGTGGGCGAAACGAACACGTTCCGTTTCTTTATTGCAAGATTTGATAGGGTAGGATAGGATAAGATTATAAGATCGCATAAATATCCGCAGTCTATCGTTTTATAGAATTTTATCGAAGTCGAGAAATTTAAATTCCATGGAACTTCGTCAATTTTGTCGCAAGTAACACGAAAAATGTAGTTAACGACAAACCGTTCATCGCAATAAAAATCTGCGATCTTGTAAAAACTGTAACTTATGGCAATGGTAAATGGCAAATATCCATATCGTTTTTAACGATCCCTAAATTCGGAACTTTTCTGTCGAAATTCTTCTACGAAACGTCCACTGTCTATCTCAATTACGACTCGATGTAGCTTTCGTTCTTAACATTGAATTCATTCTTCGAAGCGGCACATAAACCTCATTTACTTGGAACGAATTGAATAGCGTTAGAAACGAGGTTTCACCGACCGTCAAACGCAGACTGCCAGGGTGCAACGTTTTATATATATATTTCCAGCTACCAATTAACCCGTGCGGTTCTCGCGAAAACGTCGCGTTGCATAGCTTATTGGTCGTTAATAAATATTTACAACTGAAAAATATGTCGTCGCGTCGCATCGACGAGGACGAACGACGCCGCTACTCGTAAATACGGCTACTCGTTGGCCGTTCTCGGCGACCTAAGACAACGCTCTTTTCAGTGTTTCGAGCCGATTTAATCGCGAAGATTGTATCGTGAAGGTAGTTGCGTGACGTCGACCACCACGTTGATTAAGTAATAAAAACACGAAAAGAAAAATCGAACCTTATCGCGTAACGTGCGCGAGCAGCAGCAGTACGAAACGAGTACAACCGCCAGGGATCATCCAAGAGAGTTTATTGCGCTCGAACCAGCGCAGCAATACGTTTCCGTTCTATTTCTAATAATCTGTCACGTGTTCTCTTTTATGCTTTGGCTTTACGTTGGGAAAGTCGCTTTTTACAGTGACTATCGCGTGACTCGCGAATGTATTCCAGCGCTTATATGGAAATTTTATTAACACTGTAACGAAATTCAAGACTCGTAATTATATCGATGAAATTCGAACGAAACGCGAACAAAAATATTTCTCCGCCGCGAAATTCGCATCTTTCAACGGACACTGTTAAACTATATTTAACTATAACAAGAATATCTGAACGAAAAATTAATTTCACGTCTTAGTGAGATCTTCTTCTGCTAATTGGTGCAGCTTGATCGCAACAGCGGTGTTTATAACGCAGTCTACAAAGATGGATCGTTCTAATTAATATATATGTCGTTTTCCAGAACCGAAGGCAAGCGAATAGAAAATAAAAAAACAATCGTCGATGGATTGCTCGACGCTTTTTACGATTAATAGCTTTAATATAAATACGTTCCTGACACATGGGATTGCGGAAGTTCGATTATTAAGATATTCGTTTTACGGTATAAAGATCTTGTTACTGTGCCGTCTGGAAGACGATCCTATCCGAACAAATATAATGGTATCGCGAAAAATACTCTTCGCTCGTCATTGACGGAAATGCTAATCTTGATGCGTGATGACAGCGTGGTTGACCTAACGTAAACGTTAATTAATTCGACGAGTATGTATACCCTCGGATTCGAGTTACGATGCACTTTTTCCCGGAACGATATCACATGTTGATAATAGACGTATAACATTCTTATTTCCTATAATTGCGAAACATAGGCAGTAATTGTACATTTCCTCTATTTTTATCAGCTCTGATTCATAGATGATTAATCGACGGAAATTTTCAACGTTTTCCTCTCATACGTTCCACTCTTCCAACTCGTATAATCATGATTCCTTTTCTTTTCTTCTTTTTTTTTCTTGTCCACGAGTCACAATTTTTATTTTTAGCTCGATGATATGTCAACGCTCCTTTTCTTACGAGAATTGAATTTTTTAACTTCGACCGACACTTTTTACGAGGATTTCACTTTCTCCCAGCTTCCTTAGACATAGCAGTCGAACAGCTTTGATTTAAGAATGTTCAAAGGTTTTCGGACATTTTTAAATCTTTTTTCACTCATTTTCGACTCAATCGTATCTTTGTATCGTTAAGAACTGCCTCAAATTTGAAGAAAAATCTGATAAATCGCTACCGATACACCTGATTTTTCTCCTCGATTTTTCTTTAAGAATTCGTTTAAAACGCATCTTTCTGTTTATCAAAACGAAA